CTGACTAGTGATACGGGCATGACCAGCCCGTCGCGGACCAACACACCCAGTCCTCCCCTACCTGAACTCCGCTTCCTGAAGCTGAACAACGAGCCGGCCCGTCCCGCGAAGGAGGCCCCTCTGGCAGGAGGAGAGGAGTCTCAGAAGACTGCTCCACCTAGGAAACGATGCATCCAGTTTGCGTGCGCCGCGAACCCACCGCAACGCCAAGCCTGTTGAGGCACCGAAACTCCAGGATCAGGCCATCGAGTCCAAGCCTGATGCGCCTCGGAAGCGGTGCATCAAGTTTGCTTGCCCTGCTCCTCGACCTGTCAATCAATCCACCCCTCCCCAACACGTTGAGCACCTTGAGGCTGCCGCTTCTCGTCTGCAGCCCCAGACCCCCGACAGCTCTCCCGCCACTGTCAGGAAGCATCGTTTCTCCTCGAGCCACTCACGGTCTCCCCGCCCCCCGGGGGCGCGCCGCTCCTCCCGCGACCCCGCTCGCAGGCCCATGTCCACCAAGAAGTACATTACTGTGGACGACAAGGATCTTCAGAATGAGGCGTCCCGCTTCCACGAGTTTGCCAGCGACGACCACTGTGACGAGGACTGGATGCGAGAGACTGTTCCTGTTGCAGGCCGCAAGATGACCGTCAATGATACCCTGGCGAAGGAGAATGAGATTCGCAAGCTTGCTAAAGAAGCTGAAGAGGAGGCTGATGAAGAGGAAAACGATGACGAGACGGCCATCGATGACGATGACGATCTCAACCGCCACCGCCGGCGAAGAGGAGGACGATGAGGAGGACGAGGATGAGGACGATGACGACATTGACGACGGTCTCTCCGGCTACGTTACTGAGGATGAGGACGATGATTCGATCGGTTATCACACTGACGAAGAGACTGGCTTTGCCGACTCAGACGACGAGGCTGATGACGATCTTCAGCTCTGGACTCCCGCGCAGCCCGCCCTCCGCCTTTCCGGTCTGTCATCTACAACCCCCGTCGGACGTCGTGCGTCTATCGGCCATCAGTCCGATTCCTCCCTCGGCTCTATCAGCAGCGTCCGGGCTGTCCGTTCCGGCAAGTCTCGTCGCATCAAGATCCGCCCCGGCACTCCTGAGCTTCCTGACAGTACCGATTTTGTCTGCGGTACCCTTGATGAGGACCGTCCCATCGAAGACGCGTATCTCTCGTGTCTTGCTGCCCGCAGGCGTGAGAAGCTTCACGTCATTCCTCAAGACATCGACCCTAGTTTCCCTGCGTCGGAGCCCGAAGACAACGGCGAAGAAGAGCTTTACAACCCTGTGAAGCACGCCAGCGACGACGATGACGTCTGGCTGCACGGCGAGATGGATGACCTTGACCACCAGCAAGAGAGACGCAGCCGCAAGAAGAAAAGCGAGCATAGCTCGCCCAAGCGTTACCACTCGCCGCCCCCAAAACAGCGTTACCACTCGCCGCCTCCCAAGAACCGCGGTCGCTCACCACCCCCCAAGAGGTTGTTTGACCGCCGTTCTCCTTGCCGCATGCGGTCACCTGCTCCTCAGGTCGTCAGGTCACCGCCTGCGTCTCTGCGTACCGGCCTCAGGCCATCGCCTTTCAAGGAGCTCGCCTTCCGCCCGGGTCTCACCATGACCAAGTCGCTGCCTCGCCAGCCGCATGGTTCAATATGCGCAACGGCCGTCGCAACAAGGCATTGATGCCCAACGCTCACGACAACGATGTTCACATTCGTAGTGCCATCGACATTGTCAAGGGGTTGGAACAGAAGCGCCAACGTCGCAAGGAGAAGTACTACCAGAAATACTGCAACCGCGCCCGTAAGGGACAGAAGCCAGAGCGCAAGCCCATGCCTGGCATGGGCGCGTTCGCATGAGAGAACTCGGTTTGCTCATGGCTGGCAAGATTGACCAAGGCAACTATGTTCTGTCCGTCTGAGTGGCCTCTCCACAGGTCCCCATTTTTCTTTGGGCCCATTTTTCTAAGTCTTTTCCCTCGTCTCGTCTTTTTGCATGGGGGCCACATTACACCCCCGAGTACGGCGTTCAGCATTGGCTTTTGCAGGGAGCATACCAGCAGCATCAGCATGATCCACACGTTCTTGTTTATTTTCTTTGTTTGCTTCACTTCATGGCACATATTTTCTACACTTAAAGAGAGCCTCGATCTGTGAGGAAGACTCTGTATATACTTGACGCCCGAGAGTGAGAAGGAGGGAGCCGACGGCAGCAGCGAAGGCTCGATACCCTGGGATAGCTCATTCGCTTGCATGGGATGGTCCGGAGAGACCACTGGGGAGCATTTATAATGACACCGGCGGCTTTGCCGTTTTGACGATGAATTTTCTGCCTCTTCGGAACTTGGGTGATTCTATGTTGTGATTAGGCAGTTGAAGGCCTGACTGAACCTGAGATCAGAGTGCATGCGGCGTCTCGACGCCTGTGGAGGGCGGGCGGCGACGGAGGCGATTTAGTGAGTGGCTTATAGTGCATTGACACCCGAAGTGCAGGCGGCGTAGGGGGCTTCAGAGGCCGTGGGACGGACATGGGAGTGGCAGCCTGAATCTCAAGGCACCCAAAGTCTAGACCTGGCCTCACCAGGCACGACTGCTCTTTGCCAACTTTGATCTCCTATCGCCCGGCTCTCCCCAAAACCTAACGACTTGACGACCGCACGACCGACGAATTTATTTTCAACAGAAGCCGTTCATTCCCAGCATCACTCTCTCTACCTCGCTGCTGCTTCGCCTAATATCATCATGTGGATGTTCAACTGGTGTACGTATTACCATGGCCATCCTTCCCATCCCTCGCGCGGGCGGTGCAATGCGCTGCTGCTACCTGGGGAGGGGCCAAACTTTAGCTGACATGTGTCGACTTTGACAGTCTGGGATGTGCTCTCCAGCCTGGGCCTGCTGAACAAGCACGCCAAGCTGCTGTTCCTGGGTCTCGATAACGCCGGCAAGACGACGCTGCTGCACATGCTCAAGGTGCGTACGCGATGGACGTATATTTGGCGAGCCGGGCTCGAGTCTCGTCTCACGTGCCAAACAGCGATGGCGACATGGCCGCCTCGTTCCATCCCCCCGCCGGCCTCACACATCGCATGCTAACCTCTTGACGACAGAACGACCGTGTCGCGATCCTCCAGCCTACGCTCCACCCCAGTTAGTGGCCCCCCTTCTCTCTCCTTCTGCCTGCTGTCGATTCGGGGGCGGGACAGAAAAGCTGACATGTCTCGTTTCTACGCATCACAGCCTCCGAGGAGCTCGCCATCGGCAACGTCCGCTTCACGACCTTTGACCTGGGCGGTCACCAACAGGCACGACGACTCTGGAAGGACTACTTCCCCGAGGTCAACGGCATCGTCTTCCTCGTCGACGCCAAGGACCACGAGCGCTTCCCCGAGGCCAAGGCCGAGCTCGACGCCCTCCTGTCCATGGAGGAGCTGCAGAAGGTGCCGTTTGTCGTCCTCGGCAACAAGATCGACCACCCCGACGCCATCTCCGAGGACGAGCTGCGTCACCACCTGGGCCTGTACCAGACGACGGGGAAGGGCAAGGTGCCGCTGGAGGGCATCCGGCCGATCGAGGTCTTCATGGTGTCTGTTGTCATGCGCCAAGGTACGCCGTCTCAACCTTTTCCTTCCTCGGAGATTTTCCCTCCCTCGGAGGAGATCCGATCGTAAACGCTACGATGGTAATCGCGAGACGTTGTTGCTGACGTGCGTTTCTGCAGGATACGGCGATGCCATTCGATGGTTGTCGCAGTACGTCTAGACGACGTGGACTGGCCCACTGGGCGGATGGTGAGGAAGGGTGGTGTTTTTACCCAACGACCTCCCCATCGGACGACGCCGAAGTCTGCGTGAAGCTTGCAACCGAGCGACGATGACAGATTGGGGCGTACATGATGAAAGGGGGGATGTTGTAGACACGGAAGAGTTGGTGACGGGGGTTCATAGCCGTGCTCCTAGGCTCCATGGTTTAAGGGGGTCCTTCGGCTGGCAGTCAATCAAACTCGTTCATAGCGACGGGTTGTAGTAGATTATTGGAATCGGATGCGTTGCTTTGCGTCTTTTACCGTCTGCTGCTTCCCTTCTTGAGACGAACGCTTGCCCTTGCTGATTGTTGCATTGGATGGGGTCAGTGGAAAACACGGAGAGTCTCTGACGGCCCCGTTTGTTTCTACTGATGGACTCGACACGGAACATAGCGTCTTTCTTGATGCTGCGGGAACGAGCATGTCCAGAAAGATTTTGAGGCCGTTGTTGAAAGAGTCAGTTGAAAGAGTCACTGTCCAGGTGTCCAACTGAGCCACGCATCGATGGCCTCAACTGTATCGCGATGATAGGCCCCCGCTAGCATTCCTCCGTGTCTCAGCCCAACAGTCTCACATCGGAGGACTTGAGCTAGACTTTACAGTCAGACGTCAGAAAATTCCCAGGTCGCTCACGGATGCTTCATCACTGTTGAGTGCCTTTTGGCCCCTCCTGGTCAGCGGTCAGCATGCCTGGCTGGGCTGGCTGGGCTTGCTGGGCTCCATGCCACCAGGTCCAATGCCTGCGAAGCCCAACAGAAGCAGAGGCGGTAGCGCCACTTTGATGCTACGTCATCCCACCGTGGCGCACCCTTGCCTTATCTGACCGCATTACATGTCCCCAACCCGGACTCGTGCAAGTGCAGGCGCAGGTGCAAGAGTGCCTGCTTGCTCCTTGGTCCCTCGTGCCTGCATTGTGCCTGTCCAAACCATCCATTCGTCCATCCACACCATTCATTGTCGCCTCTCACGAGCTCTCGCTTTCCAAACTCCAGCTGCCTTGCCACGACTGCACACACCCAGCGCTCTGTGTTTCCCACTTGCCGTAACATGCCTCTTTTCTCCTCCACAACGGCCCTCCATCATGGCTGAACAAGCAGAAGACATCTACGGATTCACGCCCGAGGCGTTTGACCCCGCCCTCCTACCCGACTATGACACCAACTTTCTCAACGACTCTGATATTGCGACCTTCATCTCGGCCCTCCAGGCTCCCGACCCTCTGCAGAGCCCCGCCGAAGAAACGACGTTCCTTCGGTCCCCCAGCATCCAGAGCCCCAGCTCCTTCGACGTCACCAAGCGCAACTCGCACCTCGGCGCCCCCGACGATGCCGACCCCAGCGCCGTAGCCGCCTCGCGGCCGCCCAAGCCGGCGATGTCACGGCGCCGCAGGCCCCGAACGGCATCTACCCCAGCGGCAACGCCACCGCCGTCAGCAGCCACCAGAGCATGTTCATCACGGCCCAGAACGACTGGGCGCCGGTCCACGAGCGGTTGCACAAGCACAA